AAAACACTCTTCGCTTTAATCTGATTATCTAGTGGCCTTTTAATACCCTCTCGCTGAAGGTCATTGTGGCTATTGAAGCTGCGCCGTTGCACACAATTATATTCAGCGAGAAGCTTTTAACAGTTCAGATAAGTTGTCTAATTGGACATTTTCGCGGGCACTCTAATGGTATTTAAGGCGAAAGTATGAAAGTTTATGCACTTTAGACACTTCGTGGTATTTTTATATTATATTTATCAGTATTTAAAAATATTATTATTTTGAATATATTATTATTATTATTTCTTTATACATATTCTATACTTAGAAAAATAATTAAAAATTAATAATATCTATTAGGTGTACTTAAAGCACCTTAATAGTTCAGTTAAAGAGCATTAATTTCGTTACTCTAAGCAGCTAAAATAGTATTTGGTGCTGCCGGTACACACGCAATCTCACACACCCACACACACACACACTCACAGACAAAGTCACAGCCACAAACTCACGCGTGCTTGCTTTGATTTTCATATTGATTTATATAAAACACAAAATGCCATATTGCGAGTATGTGTCCATGTGTGTGTGTGTGTGGCATGCAACAAGTGTCAATGTGTTAAATGCATCTCTATATACATAAATTTATCGAGTATTTGCCCCGTGGCATGTGTGGAATGCTGTTGCACAACTGCATTTACTTGCGACAACTCCACGAACTCAGCTCGGTTTGTGCCATTCAAGTCAGCTTATTGGTATGCATTTGCATGTTTGTGTGCTCGCGTCTGTGTGTGTGTGAGTGTGGACTCCAGCATATTGAAATTGTTGCCATAGCAGACGTAATCCTTGCCAAACGTTCAGGGTTCAAAACTTGAAAAGGCCAAGGCGCCAGCGCCAGCGCGCTGATAACAAAAAAATGTAATAAACGCCAGCAAAATATTTGTCAAATCAATTTCAATTTCGATGTAGTCTAGTGTTTGTGTCAAGGACACACACACACAAACACACACAAAATATGGAAGAATAAAAATTGAATAAGTTAGGAGCAGCTAGCTGTGCGCGCCAACTAAGGTTAGAATCTTTTGCTGATTTTCCATTTTATATGCATTATTTTGCCTTTGGCAGGCGCACAACCACACCCACACACACACACACATTTGTAACCCACGCATAACACTTTTCCTGAGCGACGCTTGGGCAAAAGTTTTTAAGGTTACGTCGACAAATAAATGACACTTGAAGCCATTCTAGGGCCATATACTCTCCCAAAGGGACTATCTATGATTTGTTAAAAGTTGTTAGCGCAGCGGGCGTCGGTCTGTTGGCTTGTTCAGCATGACTTTAAAAGCGTTAAGCAGCACAAAAATGAAGTAATTTCAAAATTATAATTATCAAGAATTGTGAGCACAATTACTATATTATTTTCAGCATTATGCACAAAAATAGCTTCTCAAGTTTTAAATGATTTTTAATCGAAATGTGTTTGCCAGCCAACAGTTTATTTTTTTATAAGTTGCATTTGATGATTAAGAGTTAATATTTTCTTATATATTGCCAAACAACAAATTACCTGGGTAATTACAGTATTTACAAACACACTTGAAGTTGGGTAGTTAAATATGTAAACTAAAATATGATTCTTGTAAATTGAAAGAACCAGAAAAATTCCCTTTATTATTTAAGGGCTAATAAAGTTGAGCACATATTTTTTGGTTAGAGTATCGAATATGCGTGGCTTAAAATATTTTCCGTTTATCCACTTTATTCACGCAGAGCAGTTATTTTTTATTTTTATTTGTGATATGCGTGTATTTCTTTCTTATTTGCAATTTTGGTCCTTTGTGCCTAACGGGAATACAACATGACAGTGTGACAGTACAGCTTGTCTGTCTGTGTGTGTGTGTGTGAAAAATTATTGAAGACACTGTTGATAGACGACGCATTGGGGCCCCTTCGCTATTGTATGCGACATGTTTTGATTGAGGTAGACCACAACAACAACAACAACAATCGCTGTGAGAAATAAGTCTGGCATCTTTACTTATTTATTAAATTTACTGCCTCTTTTTGGTCGCTGGGGAAACGGCGCCTGAAAGCGGGCTACAATAAATTTGGTTAAAGGCTGCCAAGTAAAAGGGCTAACACGTTTTATCCACATACCAAATTAAAGTTGACCAACTGTCAAACGGCCTCCAGGCCACAACTCGAGTGCTGACGACTCGGCAAACGGGGGCGGCGGGAACTTGATCGTGGGGTGGTTTCTTATAAACTCGTATTAAAATATGTCAAAATATGACAAAAGTTCCTCAACGTTGCCTTTTCCTGCTATCTCCTATGCTTTGGCTGCTTGTGCGTAGCTGTTGGGTGGCAGGATTTTCATAATTCCAGCACACAATACAATTTTGTTGTTCTTGTTGTTGTTGTTGTAGTTGTTGCTCTGTTTGGCACTGTGATTGCTTTTACCCCAGCCCTTGGCCGGGTTCGATGACAAATTGATGCTTTGACACTGGCTCAATGCAAAAGTTTAATCTCCCATTGATTAAGTTAAGTTCCTTTCAGTTTGTCAAGTGTCGCTTGAAGCGAATTAATACCAAAACATGTTGCTTCAAAATGAAGATAAGTCAGACACGAGTGTAAATAAATATAGTGGAGTATAGAGTGCTAAACCAGTTTTTAAAATTAAAATTTCTTTATTTTCGAGAAGAAACCTTGTTAGTGTCCGGCAAAGCTCATAATTTCTTAAACTGAGCACCAATATTTTGATTCTAACCATTAAATTTTATTTTAAAATGTCTTAATACGAGGTCTTCAGCACTTTTTTTAAGAAATTGAAATTGAAGATTTGTAACCCAACTCTCATGTTAAATATAAAACAAATTGTCATGTGGTCTATTCCAATTTAATTTAAATCAAGCAAGATTGATTTGATGTGAATTTTGCTATAACTTTTTTTTCCCAGTGTACAAGTGTATTTTTGTGGGGCATGTTTAAAAAGCTGTCGCATTGCTTCGGGGCATTATGCAACTTTGCTTAGTATTTACAACAATTTGTCACTTGGTTCTTTTTTGGGTAAAAGCTCATGTGTGTGTGTGAGAGCATTTCAATCAGTTGAACATAGGAAATAGCCACAATTTTGGATGAGAGTTTCCGGAACTTTGTTGCACAGCAGCTGTCGCAATGTGACAGAAATTTTTGCAATTACACTTTTGCAGTTTGCGAACAATTTTTTTGTTTAGGCCAACAAAGTGAGATGTACAATTGTTGACATTATTTTTGGATTTAATATGTGTATATTTCTGTGCTCGTTTCTCGGTATTGCTTTTGCCAAATTGTTTTGTTACGTCTGCATCTTCGTTTTGATTGTGGAAAGTTTTATTGCAGGCGTTGACAGTAATAAATATTATGTGCATCACACTTCCGGTTGCTTTATTTATGGCTCTGCCACAGCTTCTACACTTAATGGCCTAACCCACCCTGTGGCAACTCAAATTGCAATTGAAATCCTCCTGCCTGCCCATGTTTGGGCAGTTGTTGTGCTTGTGGTGTGTGTGTCTGTGTTGTCCTTTGTGGAAAAACCATGCACGAGACAGCTTGAAATCTGATGACAGGGCTGTAGTTTAGTAGACGGTAACTATCACGACTAAACACGAATTCATATAACTAAACACGTCTCTCACATTATATGAACACGAAGAGATTTTAAATGATTGCATTCATGATAGTTCACACATTTACTAATACAGCTATAAAAATCAATCAGGTTCCATAAAGAAAGAAGTAAAGAAAGTTTGCGAATCGAGGCACGCGCCCATCGCTAGTTTGTGTCTGTGGCCTGTATGATGAGAAATTGTATCGTATGTTGCACAATTTGTCGTCTTGGGGCTGTGGTGAGGTGCTTTAACCAACAATACACAGCATTTGTTCTCAAAATGCATCGAACTGTGCTAATTTCTAGTGCATGCTTCTTGTTGAAGACATGGCCAACAAATGTTAACTGCAAAATTCAGATTGAAGTAGAATTTCTCTGGAAAATATACAAGTCGTATATGCATCAACAACAATAATTCGATCTTTAAAGGGGTTCAAGCGTTTCTAATGGGGTTCAAGCGCAGCTGTTGAACATTTGACGAAATTTCACAAAAGATTTCTGAAGACTTTTCGAAGCATCTGAATAAGTATTTGCATTATTATAAATTATTTGCATATACTATAAAACCTGATATCTGTAGCTCTGAGAGATGATTGTGAATTCTGCTTATATTATTTTCCATTTCTTATTAGCTTTGGCCGTGGTCAACAAATAAACACACTGACACATAAATACACTGTCAAATGCTGAAAAGTCCATTGTGCGTGTGTTTGTGTGTGGCTGCTACTTAAGTTTATACGAATAACTTTCTTTGGAATTGAGATGAGAAATAACAAAAAAAAAAGAATAAAAGCCTTTCACAATTCAAATTTGGTTTACTTTGGCATTATGCATGACTTCCAAGTGGACCAAGTAGCCATAATATAGCATTGTGCTTAGTGTTATTTACATGCCATGTCAAACAGATTGCATAGATACAGATACAGATACAGACACAGACACAGATACAGATACAGATACAGATACAGATACAGATAGAGATAGAGATGCAGATACAAATACACATACAGATAGAGATGTGTGCGTGTGTGGATAACGGTAACTCGGCCGTTCGAGTGGCAATTTGTGCGTGCACCGAAGCGAACAGTTGCCAGCAAACACTCGAGAGACACAGAGCGGGGCTTATAGAGTGGGTGAAGAGGTGAGGTTGTTTTTTTTTAGTATATTACATGTTTCTGCCCATGCAATGCAGACGAATGCAATTTGCACAGGCTGCTCGAAAAGTATACTCAATATGTGTGAATATAAAAATAACTTTCAAATTTTAAATAATAGTACATTTCCTTTAAAATATTATTGATTGAGATACTTTTATTTGAATTCAAAAATATATATTTGGTTTTTTTCGAATTTTTAAACGAAATTAATTTACAAATTTAGAGCTTGTTAAATTTTTATAGTAGCTAAAATAATTTTCTAGATATCCTAACTGTATAAACTCAGCTTTAAGTTTCAGTTCACACAAGCCAGATATCTAGAAAAGTATTTGATTAATGATGCATTTAAAGCCGAAGAAGAAGATTCAAATAGATGACATACACTCCCTAAAAAGTGCTTAGGTATTCTGTTTTCATATGAGACATAGTCGAGCATACTTAAGTAAAATATATTAAAGAAAACATTTTAAAAGAGTTCAAAAATAAATCAAAGTCTTATAGGGTTTTGTTAACCTTGTTTGCAAATTTCTGTTTAAAATATTTCTTGATATCAACAATTCTTAAATTTTTCAATTTTCTGAATATTCTACGAACTTGTCCAGCACACCTCGCATACCCTTACACAAACGAACATATAAACTCGTATATGCATACAAAAAAATCCGCATAACTGCAGCTAGTTGAGATTTTTGCCTGCATTCGAAAGAAAATATTTTTTCCAGCTTACAGCTCTTCAGCCGAGCAGTTAGTGTGGGCGATGCGTCGGTGGACAGGGATTATTATTTTGGACGTGAAACTTTTTTGCCAAAAACAGTTGCGCAATATTTGCGAACAAAAATGTCAATGCCGACTCGTCGAATGATCGGAATGTGGTCAAACACAAGAAGATATAAAAGAAATAACATAAAATAAATACAATATCCGTTTCTGATAGAAATTTTAAGATAAATTGTAAAATTGATAGCCGTAACTTTGGCTGAGCAGCTGCTCAATAAAATAATCATGGCTTTCTGGTGTGCCGGAAAACAAATGCGCATTTAACATTCATGCGGCCGCAACGATGAGTGGCCAAAAATCAAGAGGGCAGACCAATGCAGCAATGCAAATCCTGGCAAGGATTAAACGCCAAAGGACGCATATACCACCGGACCAGGCGACCAGTCGACCAGGCGACCGTTCCACGTGCCCCTCCGTGCTGGTCGCTTTCTTTGGCCAGCACGTTATGGAAAGGCAGCCACAAAGTCATTTCACTGGGTCGGATGTTTGCGGGCAAATGAAAGGACGCACAAACGGCAGAGCCCAGTTCAGACAACGACAAACAGAGATGAATATGGTAAGAGGGTAAGTGAGGGGTGGGGAGTGGGGGTTGGTATTGAGAATTGGGTAAGGGGAGGCTTGTCTGCTCGCTTAGCACGAAGAAGTCGTAAATTTCAGCTGCAGCCTTTGGACAGTTTAATTTCGATTTCCCTTTTAGCCAATGGTTGCGAAAATGGCGCGTGCTCAGTGCCAAATGAAAAATGACCAAAACGAGTTCGGGATTGCGAATTGCGGGAACGAAAGCGTCAACTACCAGGACCGATACAAGTCATATATAAACGACCCTTGGCAGGTATAAAATAAATTTTCTCAAAAAGCTTTGAAAATAATTATGAAATTGATCGGACAGCAAACAATCAACTTTTATACAAACGTTATCCACCAACTTTCTACAAGTACGGGTGAAATTTCCAATATCGCTGAAACAGGTATTTATTAAGTTCATATGTAGAACTGCGAAAACTGTGAAACTCTTCTCAAATGATTTATCTTATAGATATTTGAAAATAAATTGGAGCGCAAAATGTGATCCACCAAATCTTTGACCCCAAAATGGAATTTCCCGAAACCCCGCCCTAACGTGCACCTATATCATATAATTTAACTACAGTGAAACTTTCAGCTTCGCAGCTCTTATGGTTTGGGCTGTGCGTTGATCACCAATCGGTCAGTCAGTCAGTTAGGACAAGCAGTTTTGTATATAGAGATAAATACAGTCTGATTTCGTTATCTAAAGATTTAAAATATGAATGCTTTTTCTTTCAGCCATCATCATCGCCTAGCGATACGGAACCTAGTGGACCCACATAGACGACCGAATACCTGCAAAATGCGCACGGAAACGTTCCAGACGGGATCCTTACGAGTTGAAGGAGTTCAAAATCTAAGTGAATTTAGTCGAGTTTTTTCTTATTAAATTTTTATTAAAATTGCTGCATGTGTATATTGTGAATGAACGAAAATAATAAATAAATGACGAAAATGATCATGATCATGGCGAGATTATGTCGTTCTGTATATTTTAACATATTGGGTCATCTCTTAGAATGTTGATTTTTGGATGGCAATCGATAGTCGGGATCCGTATGAACAGAAAGAGGTATATCATTCCGAAATCGGATTGTATTTAGCCGAGCTATTTCCATTTTAATATATAATAAATATTACAGCAAGAGGTATATTGTGAATGGTTTATTTTTATGCGCGGACCAAAAGTATGCTGTAGAAAAGCTACTTTATTAGGATCAATCGAATTATCTGTTCATCACAAAAGTATGCAATGCTTTCTTTTACCATTATGCCAAGATCAACGGCGGAGTTATGTCGCTTTGAAACGTCATATGTCCAGGATTTTTTTAGAGCGGCGGAGCTATGTCGTTTCAAAACGACATAACTCCGCCAAGATAATGGTAATGTGAGATTATGTCGTTTTGAAACGACATATCTCACCGCTCTAAAAACAACATTTTTACAAGAAATTTTGCAAAAATACCAGGCGAACAGAAATGACTAGCAGGTAGAATGCTGATTTTTGGGTGGCAATCGATTGTTCGGACCCGTACGAGTAGAAAGAAGTATATCATTCCGAAATCGGACCGTATTTAACCGAGCTATTTCCATTTTAATATATAATAAATATTTCAGCAAGAGGTATATTGTGAATGGTTTATTTTTATGCGCGGACCAAAAGTATGCTCTAGAAAAGCTACTTTATTAGGATCAATAGAATTATCTGTTCATCACAAAAGTATGCAATGCTTTCTTTTACCACTATGTCATGATCAACAGGGGAGCTATGTCGCTTTGAAACGTCATATGTCCAGGATTTTTTTAGAGCGGCGGAGCTATGTCGTTTCAAACGACATAATGTCGCCTGCGCTTATTCTGATTTTGGGTCATCTCGTAGAATGCAGATTTTTGGGTGGCAATCGATTGTTCGGACCCGTACGAGTAGAAAGAAGTATATCATTCCGAAATCGGACTGTATTTAGCAGAGCTATTTCCATTTGAATATATAATAAATATTTCAGCAAGAGGTATATTGTGAATGGTTTATTTTTATGAGCGGACCAAAAGTATGCTGTAGAAAAGCTACTTTATTAGGATCAATAGAATTATCTGTTCATCACAAAAGTATGCAATGCTTTCTCTTACCATTATTGCAAGATCAACGGCGGAGTTATGTCGCTTTGAAACGTCATATCTCCGCCGCTCTAAAAACAACATTTTTGCAAGAAATTTGGCAAAAATACCAGGCGAACAGAAATGACTAGCAGGTAGATGCACAGAAAATTTCGGCGGAGATATGTCGTTTCAAAACGACATAACTCCGCCAAGATAATGGTTATGTGAGATTATGTCGTTTTGAAACGACATATCTCACCGCTCTAAAAACAACATTTTTACAAGAAATTTTGCATAAATACCAGGCGAACAGAAATGACTAGCAGGTAGATGCACAGAAAATTTCGGCGGAGATATGTCGTTTCAAAACGACATAACTCCTATTTCCATTGTAATATATAATAAATATTTCAGCAAGAGGTATATTGTGAATGGTTTATTTTTATGCGCGGACCAAAAGTATGCTGTAGAAAAGCTACTTTATTAGGATCAATAGAATTATCTGTTCATCACAAAAGTATGCAATGCTTTCTTTTACCACTATGTCATGATCAACGGGGGAGTTATGTCGCTTTGAAACGTCATATGTCCAGGATTTTTTTAGAGCGGCGGAGCTATGTCGTTTCAAAACGACATAATGTCGCCTGCGCTTATTCTGATTTTGGGTCATCTCGTAGAATGCAGATTTTTGGGTGGCAATCGATTGTTCGGACCCGTACGAGTAGAAAGAAGTATATCATTCCGAAATCGGACTGTATTTAGCAGAGCTATTTCCATTTGAATATATAATAAATATTTCAGCAAGAGGTATATTGTGAATGGTTTATTTTTATGAGCGGACCAAAAGTATGCTGTAGAAAAGCTACTTTATTAGGATCAATAGAATTATCTGTTCATCACAAAAGTATGCAATGCTTTCTCTTACCATTATTGCAAGATCAACGGCGGAGTTATGTCGCTTTGAAACGTCATATCTCCGCCGCTCTAAAAACAACATTTTTGCAAGAAATTTGGCAAAAATACCAGGCGAACAGAAATGACTAGCAGGTAGAATGCAGATTTTTGGGTGGCAATCGATTGTTCGGACCCGTACGAGTAGAAAGAAGTATATCATTCCGAAATCGGACTGTATTTAGCAGAGCTATTTCCATTTTAATATATAATAAATATTTCAGCAAGAGGTATATTGTGAATGGTTTATTTTTATGCGCGGACCAAAAGTATGCTGTAGAAAAGCTACTTTATTAGGATCAATAGAATTATCTGTTCATCACAAAAGTATGCAATGCTTTCTTTTACCACTATGCCAAGATCAACGGCGGAGTTATGTCGCTTTGAAACGTCATATGTCCAGGATTTTTTTTAGAGCGGCGGAGCTATGTCGTTTCAAAACGACATAACTCCGCCAAGATAATGGTTATGTGAGATTATGTCGTTTTGAAACGACATATCTCCGCCGCTCTAAAAACAACATTTTTGCAAGAAATTAGGCAAAAATACCAGGCGAACAGAAATGACTACAAGGTAGATGCACAGAAAATTTCGGCGGAGATATGTCGTTTCAAAACGACATAGCTCCGCCAAGATAATGGTTATGTGAGATTATGTCGTTTTGAAACGACATATCTCACCGCTCTAAAAACAACATTTTTGCAAGAAATTAGGCAAAAATACCAGGCGAACAGAAATGACTACAAGGTAGATGCACAGAAAATTTCGGCGGAGATATGTCGTTTCAAAACGACATAGCTCCGCCAAGATAATGGTTATGTGAGATTATGTCGTTTTGAAACGACATATCTCACCGCTCTAAAAACAACATTTTTGCAAGAAATTAGGCAAAAATACCAGGCGAACAGAAATGACTACAAGGTAGATGCACAGAAAATTTCGGCGGAGATATGTCGTTTCAAAACGACATAGCTCCGCCAAGATAATGGTTATGTGAGATTATGTCGTTTTGAAACGACATATCTCACCGCTCTAAAAACAACATTTGTACAAGAAATTTTGCAAAAATACCAGGCGAACAGAAATGACTAGCAGGTAGAATGCAGATTTTTGGGTGGCAATCGATTGATCGGACCCGTACGAGTAGAAAGAAGTATATCATTCCGAAATCGGACCGTATTTAGCCGAGCTATTTCCATTTTAATATATAATAAATATTTCAGCAAGAGTTATATTGTACATGGTTTATTTTTATGCGCGGACCAAAAGTATGCTGTAGAAAAGCTACTTTATTAGGATCAATCGAAATATCTGTTCATCACAAAAGTATGCAATGCTTTCTTTTACTATTATGCCAAGATCAACGGCGGAGTTATGTCGCTTTGAAACGTCATATGTCCAGGATTTTTCTTAGAGCGATAAGATAATGGTTATGTGAGATTATGTCGTTTTGAAACGACATATCCCACCGCTCTAAAAACAACATTTTTACAGAAGTTTTGCAAATATACCAGGCGAACAGAAATGACTAGCAGGTAGAATGCAGATTTTTGGGTGGCAATTGATTGTTCGGACCCGCACGAGTAGAAAGAAGTATGCCAATCCGAATTCGGACCGTATTAGCCGAGTTATTTCCATTTTAATATTTAATTAATATTTCAGTATGAGGTATATTGTGAATGGTTTATTTTTATGCGCGGACCAAAAGTATGTTGTAGAAAAGCTATTCTAAAAGGGGCAAGCGGATTATGTGGTCATCACAAAAGTGTGCAATGCTTTATTTTACCTTTATGTCCACAAACACACAAATGTTCTTCGGAAACTTTAAATGGCGATATCTCGGTCAAATAAAGCCCAATTCCGGTCAAGGGAGTGTGTTGGGGCCCACGCTCTACACCCTCTTTACCTATGACATGCCCACTGAGTCTACAATTGAAGCCGAGGATCCATGCGATCTTACCATCATGTGTTTACGAAGCTTCTGACGTCCTCCACCAATATCTTCACAAATTTGAAATGTGGGCCAAGCTTTGGAATATTGGCATTAATTTACGATTTTATTTTTTATTTTTTTTTTTATGTTTATTACTATTAGGTGTAGAGTCTGTACAATCATAATTTAAACCTTAACAATACATGGAAGAGAAATTTTATTTAGAACCGAATCCCATAACGCAGTATGAGGATTTCAATCTAAGTATAAGTATATTATTTGTAAAAATTAAAATAAAGCAAGCCAGTGCAATGGTATTTTGTAACCGTTAACTTTCAAACCTTAATTTAATTGTTGATAGAGCTTTTAAGTGCATTTTTCTGGGATTTGGAACTTTAGGTTCACCAGTGCATCGTGCATCCAGGAACCACAGAGGGAGGAGGGATGGCTGAATGAAAACAGAATACATACATATTTTTGGAGCCTTGCCGCTGGTTTTTTTGTATTAATTTGGATCTGTAGGTTCACCAGGACTCTATCAATGCGTCATGATATAAGGTAACTACGGTTTGTGCTGTGCTTTGATCACCAATCAATTAGCCAGCCAGTCAGTCTATCAGGCGGACCATTTTTTTAAATAGAGATATACGCATACGATATAAGTAAATAAGCGGAAGCAGGACATTAAGGACATGGCACTGAAGTGCAACAGACTTGCGCGGATATATATACGAAATGCCAACTGTCAAGTTTACGCACACACATGTGCATGTGTATGTATATATATATATATATATATATAAATGTGTTATTTCATTAGCACGGGCACGTGCTGAGTGCGTCCTGTGTGTCCTTTAGCTGCTAACAATGCCTGTCAGCACTAGGAAGCTGCATGACATTTAAATTAGTTTCGTGATTTTGCAATTTATTTTGATTTACATTCGCGCAGCTGGAAATATTTTCATGTATATACA